ACCCCGTTAGCTTCCGACGCCGCGAACCAGAGAGCGGGCCATGTCTCTCAACGCGGGATCGGGGAGCAAGCTGAAGTCGCGGCCGTGAAACCAATCCAGGCTGACCGCACTGGGAGGCCTATACTTACGCCAAACAACTTCGATGTACTCAGGCTCGAGAAGGGGGGGGGGGGGGGGGGGGCAACAGCTCCTGACCGCGCGCGCGCGACCCGCCCCCGCCCCCCCATGCCGAACATAACTTGCCCCGCTCAGTCTTGAGCAGACTCGCAGGACCACTAGCGACGTTGCCCGACCTGGACAGCGCGGTGGATGGGGGCCCAGGCAACAGGTCCCCGAATGGCTCTGCGAGCATTCCTGGCCCCCTCCCCGAGCCCTTTTTTGACCCGCTTCTGCCGTTCATCCGCGGTGACTTCGCGGCGGTGGCCTTTACAATCAAACTGGCCTCAGCAGCAGCCGCGACCAAGCGATCGAGGTCATCTCGCAACTCAGTATCCCACACCGAACTGATAGCTTGCCTCGCTAAGCTATCCGCATCACGAAAAAGTCGAGCCCGCTCCGAGGCGTTGCCAACGGCGGCGGAGTTGGAGGGCCTGCGCAGCGCCGCCGGAACGGGCCGACCTCCGCCGAGAAGGCCTTCACTGTTCAAATGACACCTCGGAGCCCTGAGCTGTGACGCCAACCAAAGGATGCGCCTGGGATGAGGGCTCGGCTCGCGCCCCCCGTCTTTCAGGGCGCGCTCGGCCCTCGTGCCCAGAGGGTTGGGGGCGCCGAGGGTCGAGGAGAAGCCTCTTTCAACAGCGTTCGCCCGCGCTCTGTAGCCAGGGGCGAGAAGGTCCCTAGCATCGCACCCATCCCCATCGCACGCCGCTCGGTGAGCCCGCTGACTTGCAGGCAGCGGTGGCTATGAAGGCCCGCTGACTTGCAAGCAGGGCCCCCATCGACAGCCTCTGATCCTGCCCGAGACCTCTCCGCCCCAGGGGGCGAAAGGGGGTTGGGGTCGCGAGCGGCAGGGTCTACTAAGGGCGCCGGGCCATCGCGCTTGCAAGCGGGGGCGGCAGACAACGGAGAGCCCGCCCCGCGACTCATTTAGGTGGGCTTCTTGGCAACGCCGACGCCGCATGCCAGAACAGCGCGCAGCGGGGCCAATCGGGAAACTCTGGGCCAACAAATCAAGCGCGTCTAGCTTCAAGCTCCTGCCAACTGGAAGTGAGCCATCGCGAAGTCGCCGCCCCCCCCCTCTTCATAGAGAGGGGGGGGGCGGGGGGGCGCCGAATGAGACGTTGCCCGCCCCGGTACGAATGCCCCCCGTTTCAGGCTGAGCAGAAGGCGAGGGGCCGCTGGACGCGATCACGGGCATCACCCTCGCGGGGCCCCCTCACGGGCTGGCCTGGGCTGGCCTCGCGGGCATCGCCCTGCGGGGCCCCCCGCCTCCAGCGGCAGGGCCAGGTTGCGGGTCGGCGTGATCGGGAGGGAGGCCAGCTTCACCGTCGTTGTCTGCACGAGGCCCGCGACCGAATCGAGCTTTGCGGCGTCCGCGCGCCTCGCGCGCGAACTTTGCCGAGGAGGCGAGCCGCTTGAACGGCTGCTTGGACATGTCCTGGACACCCTTGCGCAGAGACCCGAGTTGTTTGTTGTGCTCCTCCTTGTTCTTGTCGGATACGTCGTACTCCGCACCCTCGAACTCCTCGAGAATGTTGATCTGGGTAGGCTGGTCAATGTCGAAGCGCCCGTCGAGAACATCTGCCAGCCCGACCATCGTGGGGCGGGTGACCTCGGCGCCTCCTCCCGACGGCTTGTCAGCGCTGCTCTCCGCTCGTAGCTTCCCGACTGCCAGTTTGTATTGATTGTCAGCTTCGGCGAGCGACTCACGCGCCTGTGCGATCTGAGCCTCCAGCTCGGCAGCTTGTTGCTTCCACTTGAGCAGGCGTCCCTGTTGACCTTCGAGCTGCGCTTCTCGAGACGCTTGACTGCCGCATACCTCTGCTGCGCTCGTTGGTGGACGTTGACCTCCAAAGGCTGGGAAACAGCCCCCAAGCTCCGAGCAAGATCTGCATCGTGCTCCCCCGGCCTTGTATGAGATTACGGCCATCTTCTTAGCCTCCTCCACACAAAACGCCGGGACTGGACCCGCAGGAAGCGGCGGGAAAATCTCTCCAGGTGCAGCGCCAGGCTGTGAACGATTAGGGGCTCCGCCATGCCCAGCTTGAGGCAGCGCAACGTCGACTCCACTGGGAAACGCCCCGCCATCATCATGAGATATGTAACCGTTGCAATTGCCCTTGCCCTTGCCGCCACAATTGCCACCCAACTGGGAGTCGAATCCTCCCTGCACAGATAGCGTCCATAAGTAACGGGGCGGCGAGGCGGACCATGACCCGCTGGCAGCCCGAGTCTGAGCCCAAGACAGCTGAGGCGAATGGCAAGAGCAATATCTACCGTACTTAGCATTCGCATGATTGTTCTTGCGCCCACATTTCGGGCAGGCGAAGGCATACCCCCCTCCACTCCAGGTCACACCGACGGACGGCGCGGAGGCATACCATGGCGCGGCCGAACGGTCCCACCAACCATGCTGAGACTCAGAGGGCGCTGGTGTGATGAAACGGATGTTGCCCCGACGAGAGTTCAGTAAATAATCCTCGTTCGACCAGGTAACAAGGTGTGCTGTCGGGGGCCGTCAGTCCCCCGTGCCAGAAATGTCGGGTCCTGAGCCAACGCGCTACGGACTTGAGCCGAAATTGCGAAGGAGACGTACTTTTCTACTCGCCCCTCCCCTCCCTTCCTCCTGCTCCTCCTCCTCGTGATCAGCGCCCTCCTGGGAGGCGAGAGCAAGGGGGTGGCGCCAGGTGACCAGCCTTCTCAAAAGGCGGGGGGGGGGCTTCTTCGAAACACACCCGGCTTCTATGGCGCCTTCGCAGAAGGCTCTGGGGCCCTCTGCGGTCAGGAGTTGTTGCATAGCGTGTCGCGGCGGTGGCTCTGGCGGCACGCTTTGCTTTGCAAATGGATAGCATGTCGCTCCGCTCCGCGGGGCGGGAGGTCGGGAGAAGCTCGGGACGTTGATGCCTCGGTACAAGGACGTGCATAATGAGTCGCGCCGAACTGTGGTGAGCCAGAACCGGCGGAGCGGCACGCTATCACAAAGTTCCCGATCGGAATCAAGGCCCCTGCCCTCTGAGAGGCCTCATGTCCTCTTGGAGGGCCCCCCCAAGCGCCAACCCCGTGTGCGCAAGGCCATCCCCTACTCCTCCCCCTCTCTTACCTCTTACGTTCCTCCCCTGTCTCCTCCGTCACGAGGGCGACGCTCAGGAGGAGGAGGAGGAGGAGGAGGAGGAGAAGGATCAAGAGAAGTAGAAGAAGGTGCAGCATGACTGTGGCGCTGCTAATGATGACGAGCACCAGAAGAAGGAGGAGGAGGAGTAGGAGGGAGGAGGAGGAAGGAAGGAGGGAAGGAAGAAAGGAACGAGGAGGAAGGAGGGAGGAGAAGGAGGATGAAGCTTCTCCTCCGCCTCTTCCTCCTCCCTCCTCCTCCTCCTCCTCCTCCTGGCTCCTCGCTCCTCCCTCCTCCGTCCTCCTCTTCCTCTTCCTCGGAGATCGTTGCGTTCGAAGTCTACAAAAAAAAGAAATTGCAGACTTAGGCGAAGAACCAACGAATTAAGCCTGGTTGGCGCAACTGGCACAGCCTCAGGGCCCCTTCCCCTCCTCGGCCACACGCAAGGGTGGCCCCAGGCCAGAGCGACCTGTGGTACGCGGCTTCGCGGGGGACGCGAGGTGGCCAAACCTGGGATGGCTACCTACCAAACCACCCCAACCCAACCCGAAGACCTAATTTCCAGTTGGGGGGGACGGGCTTTCTATGTTTTTGTTTGCTGTTCCCCACTGGAAATGGAGCACCAGTCGGGGCCTTCCGGTTAAGTCAAAATAGTTTGGTGGGCGGTGATGGGCGCGCAGGCCGCTGCTGCCTCTTCGCTTTCGGCAATCGGGTGACCCCATTTGGCCCGAACCAGTGGTCACTCCGGCGAATGGTCACTCTCACGTCTAGTCGGGGGGGAGAGGGGAGGAGGAGGAGGAGGAGGAGGAGGAGGAGGAGAAGGAGGAGGAGGAGGAGGAGGAGGAGGAGGAGGAGGAGGAGGAGGAGGAAGAGGAGGAGGAGGAGGAGGAGGCGGAGGAGGAGGAGGAGGAGGAGGAGGAGGAGGAGGAGGAGGGGAGCAAGGGGAGCAGGGGAGAGGGAGGAGGAGGATGAGGAGGAGGAGGAGGAGGAGGAGCAGGAGCAGGAGCAGGAGCAGGAGGAGGAGGAGGAGGAGGGAGGAGAAGAGAGGAGGAGGCAGGGGGAGGGGGAGGAAGAGGGGGAGGGGGACGTCATGGCAAGTCCTCCTCGTCCTCCAGGCGCCCTCCAGCCCTCCTCCTGCAGATGCCACCGCCGCTCCACCCTCCGACGTCAGGTGCCCTGATTGTTTCAATACGGCCCCCCTGTGAAGCCCCGACCCATGTCGGCGGCGCGCCCAGGGTGGAAGCCAGGCGGGGCGGGCCTTGTCGGTCGGGGATCTTCTGATCCAGGTCAGTCCAGACCCGGGTCAGTCAGGCCTTGCTGAATCCTGCAGGATCCTGCGCCCAAGCCCGGGTCAGTGCGAAGGACCCTGCAGGATCCTGCACCCAAAGCCGGAATTGACCCCCGTCTCGAAGCTCCCGACCCAGAAGGCTCGGCAGGCATCCAGCCGTCTGACCAACACGACCTCTGAAAAGGCCGGAGCGCTTCGGGGAAGCCCTGCCGCCTTCCGAGAAGGCCTCCTCCCTCTCGCTTCCCTCCCGGGCGCGCGGCCGACCACTTCCTGGGACCGACCACTTCCCTTCCGAGTGGAGTTTTTTGAGGGTCCAACCAGCGAGGGTCCCCGAACGCCGCGAACGGCCAAAAACCTTCCGCCGTGATCTTTGCCACGACGCGAGCATGTCTCCTCCGGCACACACCGCCGCCGCTCCGGCACCCGGCTGGCGGGCGGCCCAGCCTCCAGGCTGCCGTGCGCGCGCCACGACCCGATCGGCTCGGAAGCGAGGCCCGCGCCCCAGTCCTCGTCGACCTGCGCCCATACACACCACACACACCACACACACACACACACACGCACACACACACACACACACACACACGCAGACACACACACAATCACACACACACACACACACACACGCACACGCACACACACACACCAGACATGCAGCGCCTTGACGATGACACCCCTGCGGCAGCAGACCCTCTACAGGCCTGCGCAGTGCCCATGGGGGCCACGAGGGGCAGTCACGACGGTGGGGCCACGCTGGGAGATCGGCACAGAGACAGGGGCAGGGACCTGGGGCTAGAGATACAGGGACGTCGAGATAGTGACAGGGATGTAGCAAGGGGGATAGAAAAGGGGGTAGGGATAGAGGCAGAGGGATACGGATAGTGACGGCAATGGGTGACCACGGGAGGCCGCGGGAGGCAACGTCGCACGACCGATTCTGGACCTGGCGACGCACCTCGTTTTTCCCAACCATCCTGTGGTGTTGGGTCCTCGTTTTCAAGAGACGGTCCCCGCGTTCCTCCTCCTCTTCCTCCTCCCCCTCCTCCCTCCTCCAGCACCATCATCATCATCATCATCATCATCATCATCATCATCATCATCATCATCATCATCATCATCATCATCATCATCATCATCATCATCATCATCACCCGTTTAAGCACACCCCTCACACGCTTCGCGGACCCATAGGGAGCCCCACCGAAGGTCCCAGTGCTACCGTCCGCATGCGTCCCGCACACTCAGTACAGCGTTTCGTGGCCCTCCTCTCCCTCCTCCCTGCGTTTCACCCACCCAGTACAGCGCTTCGTGGCCCCCTAGGGAGCCCCACCGAAGGTCCCAGTGCTACTGTCCGCATGCGTCCCGCACACCCAGTACAGCGTTTCGTGGCCCATAGGGAGCCCCACCGAAGGTCCCAGTGCTACCGTCAGCATGCGTCCCGCACACCCAGTACAGCGTTTCGTGGCCCCATAGGGAGCTCCACCGAAGGCCCCAGTGCCCCCGTCCGCATGCGTCCCGAAGCCCAATTTGGTATTTTCACCCACCCGGTGCAGCGTTTCGTGGCCCCATAGGGGGCTCCACCCAAGGCCACAATGCCACCGTCCGCATGCGTCTGGGAAATGCAATTTGGCATTTTCACCCGCCCGGGCCAGGACGCTTCGCCGCTGCTTGATACTGTAAGCGCGAAGGGGAGGGAACGGAAAGGGAGGGGGAGAGGTAGTCCGGTTCGAGAACGGCGCCCATGCAGCGCACCATCGCCAGACTCCCTTCAGGCTCCGCTTCAGCGTGGTAAGGTGAATAGCTCTTCGGCTCTGAGGGCCCCCAGAAAAGCACTGCATCACTCCCAGGTCGAGGATCGACGACGCCTCGGGAGACGCCAACGCGGTGCGGTGCACACACGTCGTCCGCGGTACGGGAGTTCTCTGGGAGGGAGAAACAGAAAGAGGGTAGCCGAGGTCGAGTAGAAGGACGAGGACTACGAGGAAGACGCACAAAGACTGACCTGATGAGCTCCCGCGCGAAGGCCCCGAGACCTCCCCACCCCAGCGCACGACCGTCTGGGCGACATCTTCCTCGGACATGCTCATGGGGGGATTAGTGGAATAGCGCAAGCTTCTAGGACGAGACGAGAGGGGAGAAGACCAACAAAGACCAGAACCGCCCAAAAACCTTACGTTGCATCTTCGGGGGACCTTATCTGTCCTACCGCGCCGTTGCCAACGTCGATTCCGCGTCGAATCTACGTTGCATCCACGTCGAATGTCAAGTCCATGTCGAACACAAATCGAATCCGCGTCGAATCCACGTCGAGTCTACGTCGAATCCGCGTAGAGCCCGCGTCGGACGCAAGATAATACAGCAGTTTGCGTGTCAGGTAAAGCCCCGCCCGAAGATGCAACGTAAGCACCCCTCGATCTTCCCAAGGAGTATGTATATCTTTCGAAGGTCCTCTTGGATTTCTTGGATCGGCGCTGGAGACCCCCCCCTCCATGGCTCGCGGAGCGCGCCAGGCGCGGCGCTGGAGGCGCCGCTAGGGGGTTCCAGCGCAGATCCAAGCAAGCAGACCTGCGAAAGTTCACGGTCAGGAGCGTTTGCTTAGCGTGTCGTGGCGGTGGCCCCAGCGACACGCTATGCCCTGCAAGCGGACAGCGTGTCGCTCCGCTCCGCGAGGCGTGAGGCTTGGAAAGGCTCGGGGCGTCCACGGTTGGGGACTGGGAAGTGCCGAGCGTGTTGCGCCGAGGCCTGGTGGGCCAGAACCGGCGGCGCGACACGCTGACCAAAGGTCCCGACTGCACGCGCGTGCAGCCCTTCTTTTCCGACCATCGGAGCGATCGATCCTCTATGAGCCGGCGGCGGCGACGACCACCAGCAGGAGGCTAGGGGCGCGCTCAAGGGGGTAGCTGGAGGGGGGAAGGCTCTTAGCAGGAGCCTTTCTTTGAAGGCGACGGCAATACATCTACAGACAAGGCCCGCGCCTCCGAAGAAGCAGGGTACTTCTGAGAAGCCTTCCCCACTCCCCCTACAACCCTCTTCGAAATCAAACGCAAGTTGTTAATGCTGATAGACGCGCGGAACGCTGCCCGCCTGGTAAGACTTGTGTGCTTGCAATCGCCAATTTCGGCGCGAGCATTGAAAAAATATGGGGCATCGCCACGTCGCCAGGAGAAACTTGCGTTCGACTTCGAAGAGGGATGTACAGTGCGGGCGCGGCCGCAAGAAACCCTCGCAAGACACCCAAACCTAAAAACCCGCGTATGAAGTGCACCGAAGGGAAAGGCCAGAGCACCCCGAGCGCAGCAGCCTCGTCAGCGGCTGCAGGAAGTCACCCGCGCAGCGCGCGGAGCGAAGAAACCCGAAGACCCTGGAGAAAAGCATGTGTCCGACTCCGACTCCGAAAACCCTGTCCGACCCGAATCTCTTTGGGGCGCATTTGTTTACTTCCGCCGCCTTCCGCCGAGCTTCCGCCTGCGGAAGCGGCCTCGTTTTACTTCCGCCGACCTACCGCAGACCTTCCGCCGCGGAAGAGATAACAACTCCTTCGATCCTCGAAGGCAAGGCCGTTTTTGGAACGCCCCGTGTGGCTTCTTGATGCGCGCCCCAACTGTGGCGTATCTGAGCCCTCCCAGAAGCCCCCTCGGCGCCTCCTGTGGCCTGCCGAAGGCTGCACATCGTGGGCGGGGCGCCCCCGGCCGTGCTCTGGGGCTTCTCCGCCAGCGCAGGTGGGGCAGGTGGAGGAGGAGGAGGAGGAGGAGGAGGAGGAGGAGGAGGCGCAGCATTGCAGCATGATTGTGGCGCTGCTTATGATGACGAGCAGCAGGAGGAGGAGAAGGAGGAGGGGGGAGGAGGGGGAGGAGGAGGAGGAGGAGGAGGAGCGAGGAGCGAGGAGCGAGGAGCGAGGAGCGAGGAGGAGGAGGAGGAGGAGGAGGAGGAGCAGGCGGGATGCACCACCCCCTCCGCGCGTGGCCGAGGGAGGACGGCGGCAGCGCGAGGGCGGGCAACGGCGGGAGAGACCCGCTCGGCGTCCGCGGCGTCGGGGCCGTGCCCGCCCCTGGGAGAGCCGCGGGCAAGGCAGCGGGGGCCCTCCCCGCTCCGGCCCCCCCCCGCCTGCCCCTCTCCTCTCCTCTTCCCTTCCATGCACCTCCCTGCCCTGCCTTTCCCTCCCCTCCCTCCTCGCCCTCCCTTCTCGTCCTCTCTCCTCGTCCATTCCCTCCTCGTCCATTCCCCCTCCTCGCCCAGTGCTGCGCGCTTCCTGTCAAGGGACCCCGCCAGCACCTGCGCGGTGACAAGGCCGGAAAAGGCCAACGGCCTTCCATCGCGATTTTCTGTCGCCACGCGAGGAGGTATGGGGCGAAGTTGGCAGCGCGCACATCGGCGTTACTACTAGCATTATTTGAAGATCTGTCTGAGTTCAGCTTCTGGCATGGTAGTTGCTTACACCGTTCAGCACAGGTGGGAGAGAAGGGCTTGCAGCACGCTTCCCCACCTCCGCAGCTAATTGCCTCAGAGGCCCCACAGGTGGCCGTGCCAGCAGCAGCGTGTTGCAATGTGCACGCGTTGAGTCCAAGACAAAAGTCACCATGGGTATGAGGCGGCAAGAGGGAAGCGGCCTTCTAAAAAGTGAGCCTCATTTTCGATGACAATGTAGCCGGCGCCTCGGCGAGAGCGCCAGGGCGCCAAGGGTCCAACAATAATCATTGTTTAATAATTAAGATTCAACAACAACAACAAAAACGGTGAGCCCGAAAACGACAACAACAAAGAACCTCATGACCCGTTTCCTTCAGGACCCGCTTCCCCCATGGCGAACGGTATCCGGGTCATAGCTCAAATCTCCGGTGGCCGTTCGGGACGATCCAGGCACCCCCAGAACGCCCTCGGCGAGGCGCACCTGCTGAAGAGCGCCCCGAGGCTGGAAAGCCGCCGAGACCTGCCGAACACGCCCGAAAACCTCGAGCCTCGAACCCGAACCCGTTTCCCCCACATGGCGACCCAGACCCTCAATGTCATCATGACGTCGACCCCCAGAGGTCTGGACACCTTGCCCGGGACAGGCTTTTCGTCCTGAGTCGTTTTTGTGCGGCCCAAAGGCCCGGTAAGGGCCCTCAAAGGCCGAGAATACCGAAAAGCATTCCGTCGTGATTTTGTTCACAACGCGAGGGGGTCTGTGCATGGCGATGTGCCACCCCAGAAGGCGCACAAAAAGGCGCCGTCCTCCGCGGGCGCCCGAGCCCCCTGCGGCTGGCTGGCGACCCCGGCGGCGAGGGCCGCGGCCCGGAGCCCGCTCCTCTCGGCGGCTCGCGCGCGCGGAGAAGGCGCGGAGGAGGGCGGAGGGCCCCGGGCGTCCTGGAGGGGCCGCCGGCCCCCACTGTTCGTGCGAGGTGGTTTGGCCGGGGGGGGGGCGCGATTGATGCTGATGGTGGTGCTGATGATGGTGATGATGATGAGGCTGAGGGTGCTGAGGATGAGGATGATGCTGGTGATGATGGTGATGGAGGTGATGGCGGTGGTGATGCTGGTTATGGTGATGTTGGTGATGGTGGTACTGATGAGGGTGATGGCAGTGTAATGGTGATGGTGGTGATGATGGTGATGATGAGGACGGTATTGGTGATGATGCTGGTGATGGTAATGATGGTGATGATGATGGCGATGGAGATGGGAAGATGCTGATGGTGATGTTGGTGATGGTGATGATGACGGTGATGATGATGGTACTGCTGATGGTGATGATGGTCATGACGGTGATGAGGGAGGTGGTGTTGGTACTGAGTGGTTATAATGAGGTTGGTGATGGTGATGATGGCGATGATACTGATAATGATGATGAGGGCGATGCTGATGCTGATGGTGATGATGATGGTGGTGATGATGGTGGTAGGAGATGATGGTGATGATGCTGATGGCGATGATGATGGTGATGATAATGATGGTGGTGATGATGGGTACTCGTGGTGATGGCGAGGATGGGGATATCAATGATGGGAATGGTGATGGTGGTGGTGATGATGATGGTGATGATGCTGATGGTGATGATGGCGATGATGGTGATGATGGGGATGATGATGATGATGATGGTGATGATGAATGGGACGGTAAAGGTGATGATGGTGGTGATGGTGATCGTGGTGAGTGTGACAGAAATGGTGGTGTTGATGATGATGATGATGATGATGATGTTGGTACTGCTGATGGTGATGATGGTGATGGTTGTGGCGATGGTAATGATGCTGATGGTGATGATGATGGTGATGCTGATGATTATGGTGGTGGTGATGAGAATGGTGCTGATGATGGTGTTGATGGTGATGATGCTGGTGGGAATGGTAATAACGGAGGTGATGATGATGGAGCTAATGCGTATGGTGATGATGGTGATAATGCTGATAGTGATTGTGAGACTCACGATGGTGATGATGGTGGTGATACTAGGAATTGAGATGGTGGTGATGGTTCTGATGGTGATGGTGGTGATGGTGATGATTATGGTGATGATTATGGTGACAGGCTTGATGATGATCATGATGCTGGTGATGATGATGGTGATTGTGCTGATGGTATTGGTGATGGTGGCAATGGTGATGATGCCGATGATGCTGGTGATGATGATGATGGTGATGATCGGGATGATGATGTACATGGTAATAAGGATGGTGCTGATGGTGATGATCATGATGCTGATAATAAGGATGGTGCTGATGGTGATGATCATGATGCTGATGATGATGGTTGTGATGATGTTTATGATGGTGGTGATGATGATGATGGGAATGGTGCTGGTGATGAGGGTGGTGATAGTAATGGTGATGATGGTAATGACGATGACGGTGATGATGGTGACGGAGATGATGGTGATTATGATGCGGATGCGTATGCTGATGCTGATGGTGGTGGTAATGATTGTGGTCAAAAAATAAATGAATGCTGATGGTGGTGATAATGATGGTGCTGATGGTGATGGCGATGATGGTGATGGTGGGGATAATGGTGATGGGGGTGATGATGGTTGCGATGATGATGATGATGATGATGATGGTGATGATGCTGGCGGTGATGATGGTGATGATGTTGATGATGATGGGAACGATGCTTATGACGATAATGATGGTGATGATGGGCATGGTTGTGATGATGGTGGTGGAAGTGATTGTGATGATGGTGATGATCAAGGTGAGGATGGTGGTGATGGTGATGATGGTGATGATGATGATGTTGAAGATGATAAAGATGGTGATGGTACAAGTGTTGGTGGTGGTGATGATGGTGATGATGACGGTGGTGATCATGGTGGTGACTATGATGGTGATGATGGTGATGGTGCTGATGGTGATCGTGGAAGTGACGGTGATGGAATCCGTGATGGTGGTGATGAAGATGATCGTGATGATGATAATGGTGGTAATGATGAAGGTGCTGGTAATGACGATCAGGATGATGGTGATAACGATGATGATGATGATCGTGATGATGGTGATGACGTGGATGGTGGTAGTGATGATGGTGGAGATGGTAATGGTGGTGCTGGTGATGATGATGATGATGGTGATGATGGTGGTGGTAGTGATTATTCTGATGGTGGCGATAATGGTGATGATGTTGATCGTGATGATGTTGGTGATGGTGGTGGTGATGATAATGGTGATGGTGACAATGGTGATGATGGGCGTGATGGTGATGGGAATGGTGACAGGTGTGATGATGAAGGTGGTGATGATGCGGACGGTGAAGATGGGGATGATGCTGATGATGATGGTCGTGCTAATTATGATGACGATGGTGATGATGGGGATGGTGACGGCTATGATGGTGGTAGTGGTAATGGTGGTGACGGTGATGATGGTGGTGATGATGGTGGTGATGATGGTGATGACGATGCTGCCGGTAATAGTGGTGATGCTGTTGGTGATGATGGTGATGATGATGGTGATGATGATGGTGATGATAATGATGGTTGTGATGACGATGGAGATGATGGGGATGGTGATGGTGGTCATGATGGGGATGATGATGATGATGATGATGATGATGATGATGATGATGATGATGGGACTGGTGATGGTGGTGGTGACGATGATGATGATGGTGATGACGGTGGTGCTGGTGATGGTGCTGATGATGATGGTGATAATGATGCGGATGATGGCGATGGATGGTGTTGATCGGGATACTGATGGTGATGGTGGTGGTTGTGATGGTGATGGTGGTGATGTTGATGATGGCAATGGTGGTGGTGGTGATGATGGTGGTGATGATGATGCTGATGGTGCTGGTCATAGGGATGGTGATGGTGATGGTGATGATGGTGGTGATGATGATGGTGATGTTGATGGTGATGGTGGCAATGATGATGATGGTGGTGATGGCTATGGTGATGATGATGGTGAGGGTAATGATAATGATCATGGTGACGATGGTGATGGTGGTGATGGGGATGGTGATGATGGTGGTGATGGTAATGGTTGTGATGGTTATGCTGATGCTGATGCTGATCATAATGATGGCTGATGTTGATGGTGGTGCTGGTGGTGATGATGGTGATCATACTGATGGCGATGCTGATGCTGATGCTGCTGATGATGATGGTGATGATGATGGTGGTGTTGACGATGGTGATGATGATGATGATGGTTGTGGTGATGATGGTGGTGATGGCGGTGATGATTGGAATGGTGGATATTATGAGAATCGGAATGGCGATGGTAATGATGGTGGTGGTGGTGATGGGGATGATGCTGATGGCGTTGGTGATGATGATGATGATGATGATGATGATGATGGCGGTTGTGATTATGTTAGCGGTGACGACGGCGATGGTGACAAGTGTTCCTCGCCATCAGAGCCAAGAGAGTATATACTCAGTTATGTCGAGTGGAGGGAACTGAGGCTCGTCGCCGAGAGCTGGAGTCTCGGAGGCTGCACGGGGGCATGGTGACCGCAAGGTGCTTCACAGCGAGGCCTGGCGGACGTCCTTATTCCGCGCGACTCGAACTGGCACCTCGCCCTCCATCTTAGCTCGCAACCGCCAATGGAGCGCCACACCGCAGCAATAACTCCACCGCCGTGTCCGCCCTCTGCCGTGGGCTCCGCGCTGCCGACCAGGATGGCGGTGCCAATCAATCTGAACGTCTTGGCCGCCAGCTCGTCCTGCCGCTGGCTGCGCTGCTGAAGCAGCTCACCCTGCGGATGCATCCTTGCTCCGCCGCGAGCTCACTTATCCGCAGCGTGGTTGGTCCTTCTCTGCTAATCCTCGATCCTTTCTGCCTGCGCGTCAGCGGTCGTGGCGTGCGCTTGATCCTTGATGCTCTCAATGCTCTCCTCCCCAGTGCCCCCGAACATCTGCCAGAGCAACGCCCACAACTCGCGACGCGGTCTCCTCCTCTGCGTGCGCCACTGTTTGCCAACCCCGTAGCCGTCGACCTGCAGGTGGCAATCTGTGAACATTCTCACAAGGGGGGAGACACAACCGAGGAGCCGCCATGCATCCCTCGCGGAACGGAACGGTTGAGGAGCGAACCAAAGGGGTTTCGAGAAAAGAGACAGCGCCCCGCGTTCTCTCCGCATTTCCTCCTCTCCTCTCATCTCCTCCTCCCCCTCTCCTCGGAGCTCCCTATAGGGCCCGGCAACGTGTGAGGGGCACGCCGACATGAACACCAAGATCTCATGCACACCCTGGCATTTATGCCTTCGGTGGAGCTCACTATGTGGCCACGAAGCGCGTGACGGGTGTGCCAAACTGTGACTGATGATGGTGTTTGTGCTGATGCCGATGCCGATGGGGCTGATGACGACGGTGATGGCAAGAATGAGAATGACGATAATACAGGTGAGTAAACGGAGGAAGGAGGGAAGGAGGGACGAAAGGAAGACCGTGGGCGTTGCTGATCCGAAACGAGGGCCCAACACCACAGGGTGGTTGGGAAAACACGGATGCCAGCCAGCCAGCGCAGCCAGCGCGCGCTCGCGACAACATGGAACCATTGGGGCGCTGATTGAAGTCATGAAGTCTGGGAAACGTTGCCCATGCCGCTCTGAAAGGACAACCTTCCACTTGCCCAGGCGGGGGCGTTCGACCTTAGCGATCCCGACACTCAAGGCCGCGAAGGAGCCCTAGAAACGCCAAATGTCGACACCCCTTTGGGAGGCCCAAGTGCGACGCCTGCTATATCGCGGCGATAAGGGGGCTCTGAACAAATGCGCGAACACTTCCCCAAGCGGCCGTTCTACCTGAGACGCGTCGACAAACTGGGCCCGACCGAGCCCGTGAAACGTCCCTTGTCGACACTCCCTGGGAAGACCTGAGAAGACACCGCTTCCATGGGGCCCTGAAAAGCCACACGTCCACTTCTGCACACGGGTGTTTCGCCTTGGAGGTTCCTGCTCTGCGCGCGAGAGGTCCGTGAAATCCATGGGAGGCCTGCTACAGACACGCATCCGCTTCCCCAAACGGGCGATGTACCTCAACGACCCTGGTCGACAACCAAACGGGAAGCCTCAGTGCGACGCCTACTACATCGCGGCGACAATGGTTTCTGAAAAGACACGCGATCACTTCCCAAAACGGGCGTTCTACCTGAGAGGCCCCGGCAATGTGTACGCGAATGGGCCCGTGAACCACCCCTGACCGACACCCCGTTGACAGGCACAAGCACGATGCCTGCCACATCGCAGTGATAGTGGGCTCCTGAAACGAATATAGTTCCCAACTTGTGCCAGCGCGCACCCCAAGCAGTAAGTTATTGCACGGTGGATGGGCAAGCTATGTGGTGCAAAATATGTGGTACAATCTACGTGGTGCAAGCTCTCTGGTGCAAGCCTTGTGGTGCAAGCTGTGTGGTGCAACCTACGTTGTGCAGTGTACGTGGTGCGAGCTATGCGAGACATTCCGCGTGGTGCAGAGCTGGGCGTGCACGCTGCGCGGCGCGATCTGCGCGGCGCAGTCAGCACGCAGTGCAAAGCTGCGTGGTGCAGACCCCGAGGTGCACCCTGTGCGAGGGACAGCTCTTCCGTGCCAGCGGTGAGGTGCCCGCCTGCGCGGTGCAAGCCGTGGGGGCGCCCGGCAGGCGGGCCGACCAGACGAACCCTCGGCACGTCCCCCCGAGCGCGCGGGGCGCCCTTAGGAGGCGCCCCGCAGGCGGCCACCGAGGCGACGCCTCGGCACCCCTCCCCAGCGCGGGGCGCCCACGAGCCGCCGCCAGCGGGCACCCGGGCAAACCTCCGCGCGCCCCGCCAGTGCGGGCCGCCCGTGAGCGCCCACGAGGCGCCCGCGTGCGAGCCCCTGGCGACGCCTCGGCGTACCCTCAGGTCGGGTATGTCCCCCTGCAGGCAAATTCTGGGCGAAAATCCAAAAATAGCCAAAAAATATATCAATCATAATAATAATGATAATAATAATAGTAGTAGTAATAATAATAATAATAATGATAAATAATAATAATAATAATAATAATAATAATAATAGTAGTACTAATAACAGTAATAATACTGATGATAATATTAACAATAAGAATACTAGAAAAATCGTACCCAGACTCTGTTCTTTCTATTGTTGGACAGTCCTCCTGTAGAGGGCCAGTCCCGACTTGTAAGCATAACCCCTCTCCCCGCGCGGGGCGCCCACGAGACGTCCCACCGCGCCGGCACCGGGCGAAAGCCCCCGCGGACGCCACCCCCCCCAAGCGCGGGGCGCCAGCGGAGGCGCCCACAGGCGGGCACGGGGGAGGCTTCAAAGTGCGAACGGCCCGCGAAGCACCCTATATGGTCGGCTCGCCCCCGGGGGGGGGGGCCCGAATCGCAACTTGGCGGCGAGCGAGGGGGGGAAGTGAGAAGGAGAAGGCCTGCTCAGAAGGCGGCGGGACTTCTCAGAAGCCCTCGCGCCTTCTGAGAGGTTTTTTGTGTCTTCTGGGAAGGCCTAGGAAACTTCTCAGAAGGCCGGGGGACTTCCGAGACTTCTGAGAAGGCCCGCCCCCTCTCACTTCCCCCCTCGCTCGCCGCCGGGCAACGCCTGCTACATCGTGGAGAGCGCCAGTCTGAGACGGGGGAGAATACATCACAGGCCCGGAGCGAATGGACATCGCGGTGAGCCTGCGCGCGAGCGAGTCAACGTATGAGCGTGCCCAAATGAGAGCAACCCTACGCACAAGTCTGAATGAACGTGAGTCTGAGTATGGGTGGATCTGAGTCTATGTGAGTCTGCATGTCAGTGAGTCTGAGCGTGAGTGGGTCTGAATGAGAGTGAGCCTGAGTATGAGTGTCTCAGTGTCAGCGCGTGGGAGCATGAGTAAGCTGAGGTGTGAGAGTCTGAGCATGAGCGACCTTAAGTGTGAGTAATTATGAACATGAGTAGCTGGGAGTGACTAAGCCTGAGTGCAAGCGGTGCGAGGGAGGAGGCGGGAGGATGAAGATGCGGCGGAGACGCCCCACTAATAGCAAGAACCTCGGACCTTATCGACAATCTAGCAGAACCACGGTCAAGGGAACGGACTCGGGACAACCAGCGGGGAAAGAAAACCCTCTTGAGCTTAACTCGAATACGACTTTGTGAAATGCCTGAGGGGGTGTAGGATAAGTGGAGGCGTTCGGAATCATCCGAGCAGACCAACTCCACTGCGAAACGAGTCAATCGAATCGACTTGACTGACTGGCTTGTGCAGACCAGCGCTCCAGCTCCGGAGACACGAGGAAAAAAACATCCCTCCTCTTTTGGCCCTGCCCCTACCTAGCCCCCTCCCCCAACCTGCCCTTCCTCTCTCATCTCTTCCCGCTGGACGCCATGCGATGGGGGAACCATGCGAGCACGCCCGCTGGGGCCGCGGTTGCAGCTCCCTGTGGGGCACCAAACGTGTGAGGGGTGTGCCGACATGGGCGGGGGGACGTGTTGCGTGCACACCCGCTGGGGCCACAAGTGCAGCTCCCTGCGGGGAAGGAAACGTGCGAGGGATTTGCCCAAACGGGCGGAGGGACGCCATGCGAGCACGCCCGCTGGGGCCATGAATGGAGCTGCGCGGAAGGCACGAAACGTGTGAGGGATGTGCCGGAATGGGCGGGGGACGCGATGCGATCACGCCCGCTGAGGCCATGAGAAGAGCTCCCTGGGAGGGGGGGGCAAGAAACGTGTGAGGGGTGTGCCGAAATGAGCGGGGGGACGCCATGCGAGCATGCCCACTGAGGCCATCGGGGGAGCTCCCGGGGGGGCAAGGCACGTGTCAGGTATGCAGAGATGGGCGGATGGGAGGGGAGGTGGCCGAGGTAGGAAGTAAAGGACGAGGAGGAGGAGGAGGAGGAGGAGGAGGAGGAGGAGGAGGAGGAGGAGAGAAGGAGGAGGAGGAGGAGGAGGAGGAGGAGGAGGCGGAGGGGATGAGACGCGAAGCGCTGCGGACTCAATTGGCGGACCCAACACACGGGAGGGCTGGGGAAAAACGTCAGTCGTGATTTGTTCTCGACGCGAGTGGTTCTGGGTTCCCCCCCCCCCAGCGCCTCCCGCCCCCTCCCTCGCTCGCCCTGGCAGCTCCTGGCAAAATGATGCTGAACGCGCGGGAGATGTTCTTCATTCGCTCGGTGCTGCCTGCACCCCGTAGGCTTCCACGGGGAGCCTTCCTCCTCGTCCTGCTGCTGCTGCTGCTGCTGCTGCTGCTGCTGCTGCTGCTGCTTTGGAAGCCGTGCTGCTGCATCATGCTGCCGCTGCAGGCAGCTCCGTGCTGACGCAGCTCCTTCCCATTCTCGTCTGGTCGTTTTCTTCCGCCTTCTCCTCATCAGGCTCTTCCACCTCCTCCTCCTCCTGCTCCTGTTTGTCCGCCCGCTCCTCTTCCTCCTCCTCCTCCTCCTCCTCCTCCTCCTCCTCCTCCTCCTCCGCTTCCTCCACCTCCTCCACCTCCGCCTCATCCTCCTACTGCCCCTCCCTTTCCGCCTCCTCCTCCTCCTCCTCCTTCCACTCCGCATCATTGTCCAAAACCAACATATGTCTCCTCCTTCCCTCCTTTCCGCCTTTTGTTGATTCCGTTTTCCGAAGATGCTGGCTCACGGACAAGCCCGCAACGAACGCCCTAATTATACCCGGGCACATCACCAAAAAACCTGATCGGACGAAAAGGTAATGCGCCGCTTTAGTCTAGTGGGCGCATTGGGCGAAGAAGAAAAAAAGGGAGGCGAGAACGGCCATTTCTGAGAAATCCGCTAGGGTGGGTGCCCAGTGCAATCCGTAGTCACTAATTTTTACCACCAACAAACGGTCCACGCCGGGGGCGCTTCCCGTCATCCGCCACAATGCCCCCTGGCACATTGAGGCGTGGTAGAATGCCAAGCGCAGTCTGGCAGGGTTTCCGTAATCTTCTAATGGGCCCCACCTCGTCGGGAAGCGCCTCGCTGCGTGCACCGGCCATGCTCCCAGGGGGTCCCTGGGCGGCCATGCCGCCTCCCTGGCGCTCTGCAAGGCTTTCGTGACTGCCCGGAAGGCCCCCAAGACGGTCTAAGAGGGCCCCGAGTCGCCGACCGATCGCTCGAAGACGCCCAAGAGGGCCTCAAGATGGCGCAAGAGGATTCCAAGGCGTCCTAAGACGCATCCAAGAGGTCCCCCAAGAGGTATCCCAAGAGGGCTCCCAAAGGCAAACATCATCATTGATCTTTCTTGCGTTTTTGGAGGGATTTGGGCGTTCTGGCCTTTTCGGCTTTCCGGTGCTCCAAAACGGCCCAAGAGGTCCCCAAGACCACCCCAAAACGGCCCAAGAGGCCTCCAAGAGGACACCGAGACGGCATAAGAGCGCCCCAAGACGGCCCAAGAGGCGCCCAATATGGCCTAAGAGGGCCCCAAGACGGCCCCCAAAGGGGCCCCAGAGAGGGAACAAGAACCGAAACTCCGAGCCTTCCGCCCCAAGGGGCCCCCAGGAGGCCCCAAGAGGTGCCCAAGACCCCAAGAGGCCTTCAAGGTCCCCAGGAGGCCACAAGATGTCCCCAAGAGGCCCCAAACTGGCCCCCAAGAGGCATCAAAACTGCCTCCAAGAGGTCCCCGAGAGGCCTCGCACGTGATTCCAACGAACATCCTCTACGGTGGCGGGACTTGCCGTAGGCAGCTGGATACACCGCCCAACCGCCCAACCGCTCCATTCGCAGAAGAACGGCCGAGCGAGCCCGGCCCCCACAGCAGCGGCCGACGCGTCGGGCGACGGCGAGCCACAATCACGTCACACAAACAAGCAACACATCTTACATCTCTCTCTCTCTCTCTTTTTCCCTCTCTCTCTCTCTCTCCTCCTCCTCCTCTTCCTCCTCCTCCTCTTCCTCCTCCTCCTCCTGCTCCTTCTCCTCCTCCTCCTCCTCCCTCTCCTCCTCCTCCTCCTCCTCCTCCTCCTCCTCCTCCTCCTCCTCCTCCTCCTCCTCCTCCTCCCTCCTCCTCCTCCTCCTCCTCCTCCTCCTCCTCCTCCTCCTCCTCCTCCTCCTCCTCCTCCCTCCCTCCTCCTCCTCCTCCTCCTCCTCCTCCTCCTCCTCCTCCTCCTCCTCCTCCTCCTCCTCCTCCTCCTCCTCCTCCTCCTCCTTCCTCCTCCTCCTCCTCCTCCTCCTCCTCCTCCTCCTCTCCTCCTCCTCTCCTCCTCCTCCTCCTCCTCCTCTCCTCCTCCTCCTCCTCCTCCTCCTCCTCCTCCTCCTCCTCCTCCTCCTCCTCCTCCTCTCTCTCATTCCCCACTTCCATGTTTTTTATGTGTTATCTCTCTATCTCTCTCCTTCTTTCTGGATGTCTACATGTATGTATTCGTGTTGTATATACATGTATGTTTATCTCTCTCTCTCTCTGCGTCACCTTCTCCAGTACATGTCGCATCCTCTGGATATCCACTCTGTGTACATGTGTCTGTTCCCTTTATCTCTATATCTATATGATTCGCTCTCTTTCATTGTACATGTCTAGGTGTATTTCTCTATACCTGCATCTATATATATATATGTATATATTCACACATGTAGAAAGATATATCCTCCCGTTCTGGCTAATTAGTACTATCCTGCTTTTTGCGTTGCCTCCACTTCTCTGCAACACGGCACCAGGAAGCGGGTCCACACACACATGGCAGCGGGGAGCCATCAGGAATTCGCCTCAAGCATCAGGCCGACCACCTCGCAAGCTACACGCGGGTACGACCACCCGGGACGTAGCTCATCCCCCACCGTTCCTCACTGGCCCTCCCCGCCACCCGGAAGGCACGAGCCGACTACGCCTCTGCAGGTGGACGACGACCAGGTCCCCACGCCGGCAGCCTACGACCGTAGTCTGGCGGCGTGCAGACGGGGGTAGGGGTAGGGGGAAGGCTTCTTAGAAGGAGGCTGCTTCTTAGAAGGAGCCGGTCTTACATCTAAAGATAAGGCCCGCGCCTTGTAAGAAGCAGGGGTGCTTCACAGAAGCCTTCCCCCTCCCCCTATCCGCCCTTGCGCGCCGCCAAATAAGACGACACGCGCGGGGTTGGCGACGAGTCGCGGACAGGGCCCCTGGGTGGGCCAATGCCGGCGCTAAAGCCCGATGGACTGGACACTGCAGCCGCACATCCGGGACCTCAACGCCACGCACTTCGCCAGGCCGACCCGACCTTTGTGAGGCTGACGCCAAAGCAGCCCGCCCACCCGCCGCTGGGCGAGGATGAGGCGGCCGAAGAACGTGTGCAGCTCACACCAAGGCGGCCCGGCAACCCGCCACCAGGCGAGGTTGGCAAGGCCAATACTGCCAACCCAACTGTAGATGACGAGACCAGGCTGAAGGCACCGCAACCTCACAGTCTCGACATCACCTACCAGGGTGAAAATGTCCGACTGACGCCAGTACGGGCCACCTTACGGAATCGCGCCACGCAACGCCGCACGGCCGCCAGTCATTCGGCTGACTCCGGCCGAGGGACTGTCTGCACTACCAGCATCACGACGCTGCATCAGAGTGCTACAAGACTTGGTCATAAGCTGCGTAGCACCCACGAGCAGTCAGGACTCAACCTTGACAGACACCAAAGACAGACCGCCTGGATCGGCCTTCATCAGGCCCGATCGCCGCCTCGGGACCTGTCCCCATGCAAGCCCCAGGCGCGTTTCGATGCTCACCGCTCTCAATGCTTACCTATCCATTTTCTGAGTGCGCTGCGTGTACGGCTGGCATATTTACCGCAGCCCCAGACTGGACCGCCGCGGGGGATGCCCCAAGGTGGCGCATCTACTGCCGCGGGTGCCGGATCACGCATGCCAGAGCGTGTGTAAAGCCGGGGGACCTCTCTGTCTGTGGGCGTGCAGAAGGGGCGTGCCTCGCCCTTGTCACCACATCCCGTTTTCTGTTTTCCCAGCCATGGTCGCCACAGACCGCGCCGGGGGGGAGGGCAGTATCCCCATCCCTGCTTCTCACAAGCGGCACCTCCCGCCACAAGAGGTGGGCGCGGCGGGAGCGAGCATCCCGCGCGCCTGGGCGGACCGTCCGCTCAAACTGGTGCGATCTCTCTCTCTCTCTCTCTTTTTCTCTCTCTCTCTCTCTCTCTCTCTCTCTCGCTCTCTACATATATATATATATATGTATATTCCTGCTTCTATCACACCAAATCCTGCACCAATCCGAACTCATGTGAGTTTTGAGGGCAACCTACATGTACACATATAGGTAATTCCATGTTTATATGTCACATAAATACACAAGTATATAATCGGCAAGCTAAGTATATATACAACTATATATATATGGGCTCCCTCTCTCTCTCGCGCTCTGACTAGTATGCATGTCATGGGATTGTGCGTTGAATACTCTCTCTCTGATGTGTGTTGCTTCTCCGTCTCTCTCTCTCTGACTCTCTCTCTCTCTAACTCTTGTTGCTTCTCTCCCTCCTGTACATGTCACAACCACTGGATATCTACTCTGCGTTCATGTTTTGTTTGGTCTCTTTGTTTTGTGTGCCTCTCTCTCTCTCTCCCTTTCTATCGTTCAGTATGTCTCTCTTTATCTGTCTTCCTCCGTGTATATCTATATATATATATATATATGTCACAGATAGATGCGTCTAGATCCCTCTCGCTCTGACCAGTACAGTCCTTCTACTGCACTGCCTACATGACTGTAGCACGGCACCAGGAAAACTTGAAACACACATGGCTGGTTCTACATTCGGCGACTCCGAAGGGTGTGGCTTGCAAAGAGTGTGGTTTAACCGGCACCCTGGGGGGCACCCTGGGGGACTGGCGAGGACCTCGACAGAGCTCTCCGCCGCTCCCCGAGGAGGCCCGGCGAGGACAGTGTCGTGCCCACCAGGCCCCAACAGCGCCGATCGCAAACCACACCCCGGCGTAACCATACCCTTTGTAGTCGCCGATGCATGTGGAAGATCTGGAGGCCTCGCGCCGGATGCACATAATACATAATCGTGCGATGGGCTGGCGCGTACGGCCACAGATGGCAGAAGGTCCGAGCGCTTGGAGAGACACGTGACCACGCGAGCGACGGCAGGAGTCTGGCATTGCGCACGATGACACAGCGACCTTACGTTGAGCAGGGACCGACCGTCCAGGCATTCCTATAGGCCTACCACGAAATATTCGTAGAACCCCCAAACATGTTCTAAGAACAAAAACAATGTTCTTAGAGCATCAACCCTATGTGTCAAAACACGACAATATCAGCCAGACATGTTCTAAGAACATCTCGCGCAGACCACAACATGTTCTTAGAACTTTATCTGGTAGACCTATAGGCGAGCTAGGACGCTTCGCCACTGCTTGACTACGCCGCTGCTCACGTGGGCCGTCAGCGCGGCACGCTACAGTGGAAGCGAAGGCACTTACGCGCCATCTTGCGCAGGCAACTCGCGTGCGAATGTCCGCGCAGACGATCCCGATCCCGTTGTCCTTTTCCGTCGCTCACATGTGTGCCTTGCGCTCGCCTAGGCTGGCCGCGCCACGTGTATCAAACTTCCCTGTGTGCTCATTCTCCGTGTCTCCGAGCCGGCATCCCCAGCGCATGAGTCGCCCCCGCCGGGCAGCGAGTTGTCCTCGCAGCCGAGGTCCATCATCGCCTTCAGGAAGTCCTGCGCGCCCACGGCGGAGCCGTCACGGCGAGAGGATGGAGGAAGGGGAGAAGGAGGAGGCCAGAGGAGGGCACAGCAGCAAGGCCAAGACAGGGAAGTGAGGGGGTTGGCGGCACGGGCTGCCGCTTTCGCAATGGGAGCGCCAAAAATAGATGCAATGGTCTATCCTGTGGCTCATGACGCGTGGCCTCTCTCACAGATTGCATTCAGCACGATCCAGAACGAGCGATTGCACAAACTATTGCGCACATGTTTGAACCCCTCTCTTGCAAAAAAGCATGATAAGACAAAGCCAGGACGAGGATAAAATCGGGTGAGGGCAAATCGAGAATCGCTGAGATCTGGCGGCTCTGGAGGATGTATCGGGCGCCGCGGCCTTCTCAGAGCGTTCCAGAACGCTCTGACACGGATTTATCCTCGTCCCAGCCCCGTCCGAAGCATGGCCCCGTGCGCTGTCCGATTTTCAGGGCTCCGTAAACCCAGACACGCTAGACCCGGACACCCAACATCCCTGGAAACCAATCTTTCTAGACAGCGGCACGAACGAAAGACTGCACTGCAGCAGTTCCAGAATATACACGGACGCATGCCCTAAAAGCCTGCAAGAACCCCCCCACACCCAGACACAAACCCGAATCCTGCCGTGCAGCAAACAGAACATGCGCGGGTGCTGAAAAATGTGACTCTGCAGCAAAGGGTGTCGTTTCCTTGGTTTTCCGTGTCCTGGTTCATCTGTGTCCTGGTCTCCGGGGGCATGCGATTTGGGCTGGATTTGGGACCAGATTCGGGCCCGGTTCGCCTCCTCACAAGGGAGGCGAGCAGAGCGAGGAGGTTGAGTACGAGCAGGAAGGGCGAGGAGGACCAGGAGAAGTGCCAAACGCGGTCAAGTGCGGTGCAGATGTAGGAACGGCCGATTTCGACGTCGCCACCCAAGGCCTCCTGCTTCCGTATTCTTCTCATCTTCGTCATGCTTCTCATCTCCACCCTCCTCCTCCTCACTCCTCACTCCTCACTCCTCCTCCTCCTCCTCCTCCTCCTCCTCCTCCTCCTCCTCCTCCTCTTCCTCGTCATGCTGCGCCCAGCCTCGTACCTGATGACATCGTCTCCCTCTTGGTTGATCTGGTGAATGATGTCCTCGGGCCTCAGGCCCATGTAGGAGTGGCCCAAGACCTGCCCTCGCCACCAGCTCGCAGCTCACCCGCCCAGCACGGTGTGGAGCAAATCTGGAAGGACGGAGAAAAGAATGTGACTGGGGAGGAGGAGGACAAGGAGGAGGAGGAGCAGGAGGAAGAGGAGGAGCAGGAGGAGGAGGAGGAGGAGGAGGAACAGCAGGAGGAGGAGCAGGAGGAGGAGCAGGAGGAGAAGGAGGGAGGAGGGAGGAGGGAGGAGGAGGAGGAGGAGGAGGAGAGGAGGAGGAGGAGGAGGAGGAGGAGGAGGGGAGTAGGAGGAGGGAGGAGGAGGACGACGACGACGACAAAGAGAGGCAGATGAGGCGGATGCAACGGACGAGGAGCATGTGGAGAACGAGGAGCGGAACCACGAGCATGCGAAGGAAGAAGATGAGGTGGACACGAGGCGGGAGGTCGGGAAGTCCAAAAGGCCAATGCATCCTCCTCCTCCTCCTGCTCCTCCTCCTTCCTCCTCCTCCTCGTCCTCTGCATCCTCCTCCTCCTCCTCCTCCTCCTCCTCCTCCCCCTCCCCCTCCTCCCTCCGCATCCCTCATTCCTGCTCTCTGCTCCTCCTTCCGCTAGCCTCCCTCTCCTCCTCCTCCTCCTCCTCCTCCTCCTCCTCCTCCTCCTCCTCCTCCTCCTCCTCCTCCTCCTCCTCGCTCCGTCCCATTCCTCTCCTCCTCCTCCTCCTCCTTCTCCCTGGTTCGTCGAGCGAGACTGGCCCCGTCCCGTCTCCTCAGCATGTGGCTGAGCCCATCGGGTCCGCCCTCCATTGCCTCTGGGGTGCTGCCCCAATGCTCTCGCCTGGGCCCTGGGCGGCCTCCAGGGTCAGGTGTCACCTTGGCTGCAGCGCAGTGGCTTCGATCGAATCCCGCCTGAATCCCTTCTCCCTTTTTACCTCTCGGCGCCGTAGAACTGTCCAGGCGCGCCTAGGCTGCCCAGGCGCCGTAACGCGCGCTGAGCCTGCTGAGCGCGCTCAGGCGCTGAAGCCGCCGCCGCCGCAATGTGCGCTCAGCGCGCCCAAGCGCCGTAGAGCTGCCTAGGCGCGCCTAGGCGCCGTGAAGCCCCATCCTCATCCTCTTCCGCGCGCGCTCGCGCGAGCTGCGACGCGCGCCCTCCTGCTCCCCCACCGAGCGTCGCGCGTGGACACGCGGGGGGGGGAGCCAGCACGCAAGGTGGCACGGAGGGCCACCAAGCATGAGGGCGGCACAGGGGGTCCCCGTGTGGTGGCGCGGGCGAGGGGCACACGCGCGATGGGGGCAACGCTCGGCACGCGCCTGTCGGGGGATGCCATGCCGAGGTCCCGCAGGCCGGAGGCCACGCAGCACATCGCCAGAGTCTGCCCGAGCCCGTGCTTTGGCGGAGGGCGGGGGGGGGGACGAGGAGGACGGCGCGGTCAACCCGTATAACAAGGACGCGCGATAAGGCTGCAAGGGCGATGGAAGGCCATGCCAGCACTCCGCGAGCGGGGCGCGGCCAGCGCAGGCGGCCAAGGATGGGCCGCAGGGAACGGACGCAAGGGTACGGTACCATTGGAAAGTTTGGGGGCGTCCAAGAGGGGGGGGTGGGGGGCAACTCGTGGCCGGCGGCCCAGGGCGGGGCCGGGGACGTATTGAAATAAGAAGAGGCGCCATGAAATCTGGGGAGATATCATGGCCCCCGCCATGATATCCGCCACCCCCTAGTCATCACACTCCTCTTGGCCGCCCCCGAAAATTCGCTCATCCTTACTGCGCGGATCGACTGTAGCCCAGGATTGGACAGGCAAGGCGCACAGTGCCATCGAGGAGGGGCGAGGGGCCCGTCTGGTGCACGGGGAGCGCGCTGCACGGCATGCTTCCACCTGGAGGCGCTCTGAAGCGCTGCTGCCCGGCACCACCTCGTCCTTCTCACCCTCTCCCCCTGCTCCTGCTCCTGCTCCTGCTCCTGCTCCTGCTCCTGCTCCTGCTCCTCCTCCTCCTCCTCCTCCTTCCGCTCCTGCCCATGGCCCTCGAGGGCACTCACAGCCACCCTCTACATGCCCGCTCATGGCTGCGAGCCCACTGCATGCTGCATGGATGCGCCTGCTCCCTCCGCGGACAGCGAGCTCCAGAGAGGAAGCGCAGAGACGGGGGCGCTCCCCAGCCGCGCCTCCTGCAGGTTCTCCTGCGGGGGGCGTCGACTCGGCCACCTCACCGATCCTGGCGGGGCCCATCCTGCGGCCGGGACGGACCCGGCCAGGATCGGCGAAGCGCCCGGACATCCCTCGCCCGGACCCTTCCCATCCGCGGCCCCGGGAGCTCTCGGCCCCACGGGGGGTGCCTGACGGTCCCCAGGCGTATCTTGATGGCCCCAGGGCTCAGAACCAGGCCCTGGATGATTCACCAAAAGAGGATCCACAACCCTTTGGGAGGGGACCTAAGTTAGGAGGGCCGAACACATTAGGGATGAAGGGGCTATTTTCTGCAGATGTATCGAACCAAACCGCCCAGATCTGTTCTCTCTAATACAAAGACGGGGACCTCGGCCAAGAAACAATCCCGAAGCCGCGAACTGCGAGGGGCCAGCCGCCGGGATTCTTGTGCAGCGCCCAGACCTGGGGGGGAGGGGTGCCGAATCCGACGGGCCCGCCAGAGGCTGAAGGGTCCCGACTGCCCCAGCTCTACACACGCGATGCTGTGATTTGCTCCATGCGCAGTCCGACCTCGGAAGCCCCGACCCTTTCCCCAGGGCCGGTCGATCATCGCGAGTCGTTCTTCGAGGGTCCGAGGGACCGGCGAGGGCCCCCCTGCAGAGGCCGAGCACGGCCCCAACCCCACCGCCGTGACTCTTGGGACACCGCGATCGTGCCTGGGCCAGCTGCCCCGGCTCTTGCCGTCGCTCGGACGTCCACTTCGCGTGCATTTTTCGGTTTCGTGCGTGTGTTTTTTTCCTCGATGGTCCAGGATGGTCCTCGTGGTTTCTCGCCGAGAAAAAATGCACACGTCCAAGCGATGCCAGGGGCTGTGGCCCGCCTGTCCTGGGAGATGACCCCCGAGTGGTCCGTGTCGAAGCGGTCGAACGCCAGCCGGAAGAGCCTCTCCTCCGCGGGGGCGCGGGCGGCCGCGCGCCCCGCGCGCGGCCTCGGCGGCGGGCCCCGTGCGGGCTCCCCCGCCGCGGCGCCCTTCCGCCGGCGGCGCGCGCCGAGGAGCAGCAGCTGCAGGAGCACAGGCCTCCGATGGTCCGCGCGGATATTTCCTGGATGGGCGCCGGAGCCCCCCTCGCCATCGCTTGGACGTCCATTCCCTGTGTGTTGGTTCAGTTTCGTGCGTGTTTTTTCGCCAAATGATCGAGGATGCTCCTCGATGGTCCTCGGCGAGAAAAAAATGCACGTCCGAGCGATGCCAAGCCACTGGGCAGCGCCTCGGGCGCCGCCCCTGGCGCGCTCGCTGGCGCGCTCCGCGCTCGGGTCCGAGAAGTCTGGGTGGAGCTCCCAACGTCTGTGCTTGTGCAACTCGCTTGCTCCTCCTTGCCGCCGTCGGCTGCGGGAGCTGCGGCAGGGTGTGGAGGAGGGGCCGAGGCCACAGCATGCCCGCGTCGCGAACAACATCGAGACGGAACGTCGCTGGCCGTGGTCGGCCTCTCGGGGCCCCGCCAGCCCTTGCACGGTGTATTTTGGTGGGGGGTCGAGGTGCTCCCCTTGCTGGGCTTATAAAGCCCAGACCCTCCTTGAGGGGGGGGTCAATCGTTTGTTATCCCCAGCTCCCCGAAAAAATCATCCTCAGGAGGGTTTTTCGGGGGGGGGTCCCCCCAGACCCTCCTGAAACACTCCCTCAAGGAAGGGGGGAGGGGGGGGGGGGGGGCTCCCCCCTGGCTCGGCAAAAGGACCAATCCTGGCGACGGGGACCAATCCCAGCTCAGCCGGCCAGCCAAGACGGCCCCAAGAGGGGCCCAAGACTGGGAACCCGGACCGATAATTAGAGCCTTCCGTGTTAAGATGCTCTGATGGCTCCAAGAGGCCCCCAAGAGGCGCCAAGAGGCCTCCAGGAGGCCCCAAGACGCCCTCCAGAAAGCCTCAAGACTGCCTCCACGAGGCCCCCGAGAGGCCTCCCGCGACATTCCAACGAACGACCTAAAGGCCTAGGCTCACAACACATGCACGGTGGCGTGATGGGCCGAAGACCATTCGATATCGATACCAGCGCGTGGACCGAACAACAAATTCTCGGCACCAGAGGCAGCCAACCGTAGGGCAGCAGCCATAGAGCACCAACCATAGTGCACCAGCCATAGCGGCCCCACCATAAAGCACCAGCCATCGAGCAGCTACCATGTAGCACCAACAATGGGGCTCAAGTTCGCGTCGTGCCGACTTCGGCGTCGGACTCTGACACCGCGTGGATCGTTCAACCTTGAACGATCGGTAGCGCTTTCTCGTTCGCCAGATCGTTCCAGAATGGCCGACTCTGGGCCACGGCCACTGGCGGCGTTCAACCTTGAACGCCCGCGGCGTGGTCGCCGCCGCGTGGCCACACGACACGAACTTACCGTACTGCTATGGGTCGGCACGCGGGCATCGTGCATTCGGGCCCACAGCTGGCTGCACTGCCTCCACCCCGCAGGGGAACCACAGGGGCACCCGCCATGAGGCACCGACCACGGGCCACCGGCAAGAACGGCCCGCTGCGCCCCACGAAGTTGGGCCCGCCGGAACAACGTAGCACCCCCAAAGCATACAGTCAACCCGTCTAGCAAGGATGTGCGAGAAGGATGCAGGGGCCTTGGACGCCCACTTCGAAGCTCTTTGAGCGGGGCGCGGCCAACGAAAGTGGCGAAGGATGGAGCGATGAGGCCAGGATGTAAGGGTACCCTTGGGAAGGCTTACCATCCTTACTATGCGGGCTGACTGTAACACTGTTTGGGGGATGCTGAGAAGACGCTGAGGAGAAGAGCGGCAGCAGCGCGCAGCAGCATCACCAGAAGGAATGGTGGCGCTGGAGAAGCAGCAGGAAGACGGCGGCGCATGTCGAAGCAGGTCAATGCTTCTGCCCCTGCGCAGGCACTTCACATTTTGGCCCGAGGGGGGAAAGAGGTTCTAGTGGAAACGGGTCCTGGGCTCAGGCGCATCCCCCGAGACCAGCTCTCAATCCTGACTGCTGACGGTCCAAAGTTCCGGGCCAGGGGGAGGGCATCGGGAGCTCGAAGGCAGGGAAAAGCGTGGAGGGTCCCTTTTCCCTCCAGGGGCCCCAGTCCCTCCCAGACATGCGATGCATTCTGTTTGTTCCAATGCTGGGCTCCCAGAAATCCCGAACCCTTCCCAGTCCTTTGTTGACGTTCCAGGGCCTGGCAAGGGCCTCCAGAAGGGCCGAAAACGATCAAAAAGCTCTCGTCGTGCTCTTCCACGACGTGATCACGGCTGGGGACTCGTCGCCGAAAACGGCCCAAAGCCCACCGTCGTGCTTCTGGATCGACGTGAACACGTCTGGTCTCAGTGCGGGCCGTTCCCTCTTGGGACGCACAGAGACCTACTAATACTATATGTCCTCCTTGGAGGCGCGTGTCCGACCCGAACATGTACATAGTACACCCATCTTGTAGTATACCATTTCCAGAGCGGCGTGGCCAGGAAGCGCCCGCCACGACGTATATACAAAAGATTCCTCGTTGCGCGCGTCGCCCCTGGGGGGCGACGCACATAGAGTACATGTATGTTGGGGTGACGCCAATCTCTTGCCGCCTCGGTCCTGTCCCAGGAGCCTTCGCTGCGCCGTGGCGGCCAGGAACTCACTGTAGTCGATGTGGCCATCCCCGTCGAGATCGAGCCTGCCCGCAGATGGAGTGCGACGGGGGTTCTTCCCGTGCCCTCCTCCTCCTCCTCCTGCTCCTCCTCCTCCTCCTCCTCTTCCTCCTCTTCTTCCTCCTCCTCTTCCTCCTCCTCCTCCTCCTCCTCGCCCTCCTCCTCCTCTCCTCCTCCTCTTCATCCTCCTCCTCCTCCTCCTACTCCTCCTCCTCCTCTTCCTCCTCCTCCTCATCCTCCCTCATCCCCCCCTCCTCCTCCCTCCCTCCTCCCCCTCCCCCTCCTCCTCCCCCTCACCCTCCCTATCCCCCCCTTTCCCTCCTCCTCCTCTTCCTCCTCCTCCTCCTCCTCCGCCTCCTCCGCCTCCTCCTCCGCTTCCTGGGAGTGGCCGGCCAGCCATTGCCCCGCGTAAGAGCTGGACGCTTCTCCTTCCATTCTTGTTCCTTATCACAACTCCTGCTTGTCGCACCCCGAGGACGGTCGAAAGGGCGGGCCAGGCGATTCGCTTATGAGACTTCCCCACCACGTATGACTCTGGAACTGAAGCATTGATAACAATTTCACATATGGAGGGCGGGTTGCTTTCAATATGTGGCTCTCGCCTTCACGCCGCGCAAATTCGTTCAAACATTTGTATGAGCTTCACGGATTGAGTGCGGTTCGTTTTCAACATGTGTCGTCTGCCTGAGTGCCGTGCCGCACACGTTCGTTCTAAACGTTTGCAAACGTTTGATGGATTGAAAACGGTTTCTGTTTCAAAATGTGGCTCTCGCCTTAGCGCCGCGCGAATTTGTCCTAACAAATTGCAAGAGTCTCATTGGTTCTCGTGGTTGATGTACCAGAAATGGTATTGTGGACCGGTTCAGCACTGTCACGGCGCAATAGTCACTCTGATTCGCGGTGTTGAAATCCCAAGAATGGTGTTCTGGCACGATTCAAGATCGCCAAGACCTCGCAATCAGGTTAACTCGTGGCGTTAAAGCCCACTTGTAGGCATAGGGGTTACGGAGCTCGCGCCCATGTTCTCCAAATGGGGGCGAAGCAGAAGCGAGGACGAGGAGGTGGCAGGGAGAGTGATTGAGGAGGAGCGCTGCGAGGACGCTGGACATTCCACTGAAAACCATCGTACTGCTGGCGCGAACTCGTGCAATTCCAACGATTCTCGGGTCCCCCACTTGCTTTCCCATCCTCTCCATCGACAACCACCACCACAACCTCTTCCTCCTCCTCCTCCTCCTCCTCCTCCTCCTCCTCTTCCTCCGCCTCCTTCCATGGTGGGCCTCTAATGTGGTCATCTGAGGGCTGCCATGGGATTCTGTGGGCCCGTCTTGGAGTAATAGTATGATCATCAACTTTTTGGAGGGCGGCACAATGCATCGGCACGATCAGCCCCATACTGTCAACGTGCCGAACCAGCCATCTGAGATGACGCCGCGCTTGTCGAAAAACGCATTGAGGAACTGGTGTAAGAAAAGACGCTGAGATAATGAAGGAGGAAGTACGGAGGGACTGAAGGCTGGCACACGCTGAGCAACCCTAGGATTGGACTGGGCACGAAGCGAAGACGCCGCCTACACATTGCCCAGTTCGCACGGCGTGCATCGCAAGATATAGTCGAACCGAAGTACTGTTTCCGAGCCGTACTCCAACCATATGTTCCCCTGTATTGTTCACGGAGCGTGCGTCGCAAGCAACTGACAAACCAGAATTACTGCTTCCGAAGCGCACCCCAGCCCACGCAAGCAGAGGATGCCCCTGCTTGCTGTGACACGATGCACTGGCACGATCAGCCACATGCTGACAACGTGCAGGGATCATTGCTGGCAACATGCTTCGGCACAGCCAGTCACCTGAGACGGCGTCGCACTTCCCGCGAAAAGCCTTCTCGAGGACAGTGACCCCATGATACCGCAGTGTGACTAGCAAGTTTTCCTGGACAGGCTGCACAACGCCTGTATAAAACAAACAAGAACGCTTCGTAAGGCTGACTGGTCAGCATTCTTGCCTAGATGAAACATTATTGTCTAGGAGAGGGCGAGGAGCTGGTGTAGGAAAGGACGAGAGGGACACTGAAGAGGAAGCACAGAGGGACTAAAGTAAGCGGCCCTACAATTACGCTGACCACAGTACGAAGACGCCGCCTAGAGCTTGCCCGATACATGGAGCGTGCGTCGCAAGCAACTGACAAATCAGAATTACTGCTTCCGAGCCACACTCCAGCCAGCGCAGGAAAAGGATGCCTTTTTGTCGCGGCATGACACCCCAGCACGATCAGCCACATGCTCGAAAGGCGATGCGAAGCCCCCCCTGACCCCTCGCCGCGCCGACGCAGCGGAGAAGGAGCCATTCGCTCTCCGGGAGGCCAACGCAAGGAAAACTTGCCCCAGTCGCCCACGCTGCCGAGGTCACTTGGCCTTGTCTCGGCCGCGCGACCGACGCAGACAAAGAGAACAAACAAAAACAGATGCCCCGTACTGGCGAGCCTGCTGCATCGACGCCTTCCCCGCGCCTCCGCTGGCCGGCGGACCCCGCGCGGGTCCTCGGAGGTGACTCGCCGCCGGCCGCGTGCGCACCGCGAGCGATCACCGCCGGGCGCCCTGCGCTGGGCGCGCTGGCCAAACCATGCCCTCCCCCCTGGGGGCAGCAGGGGCAGGGTCGCGAGCGCTCTCCCACCACGCGAGTGCGCGCTGGGTGACCCTGGAATCCGTGGGGCCGTTCTCGGGCGCCCCGTCGGGTCCCCAAAGCGAGAGCTCCACCAGCCCCGGCGCCTCACTCAAATTGGCACGTGGACCCTGCTCCCCTCGCCCCGCTCCGTGTCGCCGTGGACGTCGACGTAGGCCCCGCTGCTCCAGCTGCTCTTGGCATCGCAGTCGGCCAAACCGCCACGGCGGGGGAGCAGTGCCCCCTTCTGCCGCGCGTGCCGCACCAGGAGGGCCCAGAGGGACACGCCGGCCGCCGCGGCAAGGGCGCCGATCACCATCCTCCGTGCCTCGATGTTCGCCTCGGCCTCCGCCTCCGTAGGCTCGGAGGTTGCCGCCAGCGCCACGGCGGACTCGTTGGGCTGTGGGGCCTCCTCCAGAAGGCGTCGATCTGGCTCGCACATTCTCCACCCGCGCCTCGTGACGGTGGAATCGGAGGACCACAGGATGCTGGACGACGGAACGAACCCGTGGGGACGACGGCGCCTGCCACTAAACTTCCGCCCGTTGACCAAGAGGTAGTCGAAGTACGATTCTGTGTCGAAATCCGCCACCGTGCCCCTCGGCACGTTGAGGCGCGGTATGATGTCGAGTGCTGTCTGGTGGAGCCTCTGTGATCTTCTCAACGGGCCCCCTCCCCCTCCCAGCAGCAGAATGTGGCCTGCACCGCCCCTCCGTCCCGGGGCTTTCTCTTGGCGTTCTGGCGCCTCCCTGGCGCTACCCAGGGCTCTCCAAGTCTTCCAAGACGACCGAGGAAAACCACCAAGGCCGCCAAGATGGCCCCAGATGCCTGCACGACGGCTCGAGATGACCACAATCCATCCCCTGGAAGCCACAATAGGCCCCGATGACGGCACAATGTGGTCTCAAGAGGACCCCCAGGAGGGCCCAGCGCGGCCAGAACCACCGACCGTCCTGGAAGTTTGTGATATGCTTCGCGTTATCGCCGGTTCGGGCGTCCGTCGCCACATGTCACGGCTTCCAGTGCGCTCCTCGAACAATCGCCACCCCAGAGTGCCGGACTGGCACGGCGGGGGCACTTGCCGCAGGCAGCTGGATACTCCACGGCGATTGGTGCTGCGTTCGCCGCGTTGATCTCAATCGTGCACTGCTGGCTGTTGCTGTAATACTGCGGGTAGTTCGGGCTCTGCACACATGCGCCGTCTTGCACGCACGGGCCCGAAATGGCAGCCCACATGCTGCCAGAACCGGGCGTTGGTGCAGCGGTCGGCGAAGGAGTCGGCGCAAGAGTCGGCGCAACTGTCGGGGCAACCGTTGGTGCAGCGGTCGGTGACGGCGTTGGTGCTGTTGTCGGAGGGGGTGCAGGTGTTGACACTGGCATGCAGAATTTCCACCCGCTCCTCGTAACACTAAAATCGGACGACCACATAATACTAGATGACGGGGTGAACCCAGACGGACCCGAAGTTCCAGTGTACACTTTCCATCCGTCGATCGTGATGTAATCGAAATACGATTCTACATTGAAGCCCTCAACGACGATCGGTGCTGCGTTCGACGCGTCGATCGTGATCGTGCACATCTGGTTGTTGCCGTACGGCTGCGGATAGTTCGCGCTCTTTACACATGCGCCGTCCAGCGTGCACGCGCCGGAGATGGCCGACCACATGTGCGCAGAGCTGGGCGTCGGTGCAGCGGTCGGCGCAGGAGTCGGCGCAGGAGACGGCGCAGCTGTCGGCGCTGCTGTTGGAGATGCGGTCGGTGCTGATGTCGGCGCGGCTGTCGGTGGTGCTGCTGTTGGAGAAGCGGTCGGCGATGCTGTCGGTGCGGCTGTCGGTGCACCTGTCGGGGAAACGGTCGGTGCAAAAGTCGGTGCTGAAGTCGGCCTGGAAGTTTGAGAAACGGTTGGTGCAGGCGTTGATGCTGCGGTCGGAAGGGGGGCAGGTGTTGACGCCGGCATGCAAATTCTCCATCCACTCCTTGTAACAGAAAAGTCAGATGACCACAGCACACTCTCCGCTGGGGTGACCCCAGAGGGACCTGAAGTTCCAGTATATCTTTCCCCTCCGTCGACAATGAGGTAATCGAAATACGACTCAACGTCAAAACTCTCGACGACGATCGGTGCTGCGTTTGCCGCGTCGATCGTAATCGTGCACATCTGGTTGTTACCGTATGGCTGCGGATAGTTCTCGCTCTGCACACATGCGCCGTCTAGCGTGCATTGGCCGACGACGTCCGCCCACATATGGTCAGGAGAAGGCGTTGGAGGAGGTGCTGGAGTTGACGGGGTTGGAGCCTCAGTCGCCCCCATCAACTCGTCGATCCAATCACGCACGTAACTAATCCGAGACCATATTCCAGGGTACCGCTCATCTGCACACCCGTAGCCCCACGACGTGGCTCCGTGCAAAACGTAGGAAGCGCCGCCAGAAGCACAGACGAGTGGTCCACCACTGTCCCCCTGGCAGGCGTCGGTAACGTCCCCGTCGCTGTTGACGCCCTGCGCGCACAACATGTCATCGGTGATCTGTGATTGGCCGTATGCCGCGTTGCAGTCTGAGTTGCTGATAATGCTCACCTGCGCCTCCTGCATCAAGTCAGGGGATGTCCCACCAGAGGAAAGGGTCCCCCACCCAGTGATGAAGCAATCTTCACCGTCCGCGACCGCCTCACTTGGCAAGCATGCTACCCCAATGCATTCGTTTAAGGACGCCTCACCGACCAACTCTACGAGGGCAAAATCGAATCGCATCGTCGAACTGTCATACTCTGGATGTGAGAACACTTGCTTCACCTGCAGTACCTCCTGGCTGGAATCGGTTGAAAGTCTGTGGTAGCTGCCCGCTACGATTGAGAAGCCGTAGCTACCCACACAGTGGGCAGCTGTCAGGACCCAATTGGGGGCGATAAGTGCTCCTCCACAGAAGTGCCCCCAAGAGGCCGCCAGAGAAACCTGCCACTTCCACTCGCATGGCGTGGTGGCTTGCCCCCCAACTATGCGCTGGCCGCGCTGCGTCTCCCAGGGAGTGTTATCCGGACCCTTCTCGCCGCACAGCGGCGCTGGCGACGGTGGCGGCGTGGTCGGCGCCACCGTTGGTGCTGCAGTCGGTGCAGCCGTCAGTGCTGCAGTCGGCGCCACTGTCGGTGCTGCTGTTGGGGAAGCGGTCGGCCTGTCCGTTGGCGTCGCAGTCGGCTCGGCTGTCGGTGCTGCTGCTGGGGATGCGGTCGGCGCTGCCGTTGGTGCTTCAGTCGGCGCGGCTGTCGGTGCCGCTGTTGGGGAAGCCGGCACAGCTGTCGGCGCCTCGGTCGGTGCTGCTGTTGGAACAACGGTTGGTGATGATGTCGGCGCAGCTGTCGGTACTGCTGTGGGGGAAGAAGTCGGCGCCTCCGTAGGTGCTGCTGTCGGGGACACTGTCGGTGCTGCTGTTGGGGAAGCGGTCGGTGATGCAGTCGGCGCAGCTGTCGGTGCTGATGTTGGGGATGCGGTCGGCGCCTTCGTTGGTGCCGTAGTCGGTGCTGCTGTCGGTACTGCTGTTGGGAGAGCAGTCGGCGCTGCTGTCGGTGCTGCTGTTGGGGCTGCGGTCGGCGCCTTCGTTGGTGCCATAGTCGGTGCAGCTGTCGGTACTGCTGTTGGGAGAGCAGTCGGCGCTGCTGTCGGCGTAGCCGTTGGTGCGGGCGATGGCGTCGGGGGTACCGTCAAATCCCCCATCAACCCAATCATCCAATCCCTCGCATAAGTGACCCGACTCCAGACTCCAGGGAAATTTTGAATGCCACACGATACAGGTCCCCACGACACGACGCCGTGAAGAAAGTAGTTGCCGCCTGAAGCGCAGACAATCGGCCCTCCGCTGTCCCCCTGACAAATGTCTGTTACCAGGCCACCGTTGGAGCCCTGCGCGCACAGCATGTCATCTGTGATCGTCATCCCTGACATGCCCCATTGAGCCTGGCAATCTGTATTGGTCCAAGTGGTCACCCCACCCTCCTGCAACAAGTCAGGGACGCTCCCTCCGTTGATCTTCCCCCACCCAGTGGTGAAGCACTCTTCACCTGCACCGATTTCCTCCGCTGGCAAGCACGCGAGGCCGATACAGTCGTTCAACGGAGCCGCACTGGCCAACTCTAAGAGGACGTAGTCGTAGCCCTGATCCCAATTGACATAGTTTGGATGGATGTGCACCTGCTGCACCTCCAGTCGCACCCCGACCGTATCCGATTGGGACTGGCTGTGGAGGCCCGCCACGACCCAGAACGAGGAGCGAGGGAAACAGTGGGCGGCCGTCAAGACCCAGTTCGGGGAGATGAGCGTTCCTCCGCAGAAGTGCCCCCCGGAGGTCTGGAGGGAGACCTGCCACGGCCACTCGCAGCGCGTGGCTGCCTGCCCCCCGAAGATGCGCTGGCTGCCGGCTGTCCATGGAGTGTCGTCGGCACCCTTTGCGCCGCAAGTCGATGCCGCGCCGATCTGCACCAATGCCGTGCACACAAGTGCCGCGCAAACAACTCTCATGGTGACTTCCGGTGTAAGCGTTCCGAAGAGCTCGTCTAAGGAAGCGCGCCAAATATATAGAATGAGGCTTGGACCAAAATGGACCCGGAGGAACATCGTGTGGCCATCTTGGACCCTCTGAGGCTGTCGTGAGGCCGTCTTGGGTCAGCCTCGAGTCGTCCAGAGCCCTCGCAGGGCCCCGGGCCGTGGTGGGTTTCCTCGGACGCTCTCTGAGGCCCTGGGAGCCCTCCTGAAACACCCCTGGGCTGCCGGCCTCTCTTGGGCTGCTTTTGTGCCCTTGTTGAGCTCATTCCGAGCCCTCTGGGGGCAACATTGAGAAGAACAATCGGGAACCACACAAACCTACACGCACATACACACTGAACTGAGGCCTCTTGAAGCCATCTTGGGCCCTGGTGGGGCCGCTTTGAAACCTTTCTGTGACATTGCGACCCGCTTTGGGGCCACATCAGGGCATTTGGGCTGCCTTGGGGCCCCTTGGCCTATCGAGCTCATCCAAAGACCCTCTTCGGCCATCTTGGGACCCTGTCGGGACACTAGGATTACAGGCTGTCTGCGGGCCCTCTTGCGGGAGCTCTGTGGCTCCTCCGAAGCCCTCTCGGAACAGCAACACTACCACCACCACCACCACCAACAACAACAGCAACAACAACAACAGTAGCAACAACTAACAGCAACAACAACAATAACAACAGCAGCAACAACAACAGTAGCAACGGACAACAGCAGCAACGATGATAACAACACCAACAGCAGCCGCAGCAACATCACCACCAACAAACAACAACCAAGCAACAACAATAACAGCCGCAACAACAGCAGCAACGGCAACAGCAGCAGTAGCAGCAGCAACAACAGCAACACCAACACCAACACCAGCACCAACACCAACAACAACAGCAACAGCAACCGTAGCAGCAACAACACCAACAACAACATCAACATAAGCATCAACACCAGCAACAACAACCTCACAAGTAGCAACAACAAACAGCAACAACAACATCAGCAGCAGCAGCAAACACCACCACCACCATCACAACCACTACCAACACCACCAACAACAATAAAACCACCACCACCACCACCACCACCAACAACAACAGCAACAACAACAACCTCAGCACCACCAAACAAAAAACAAACAGCAGCAGCAGCAACAACAACAACAACAACAGCAACACCAACAACAGCGAAATAACCAGTGCCCCAGGGGGGCTTGATGTTGGTTGATATGGGCCGTCTGGGGGCCCTCTGATGGCGGATCTTGGAGTCTGGTGGGCCCTCTTGGACCCTAATGGAAGTGCCTTGGAGCCCCCGAAACGAGCACGGAGGCCGCCTCTGCGGCTTTTGGAACCTCCTGGGGGAGGCTTGTGGGAACTCCAGCAAGGAAGGGGCACTGACGTGGCTCCGGGTGCCGCCGAGGGAGCGCGGCCCTTGGCGATGGCATTGGCTACATAAGCGTCGCTCCGCACCCGCGGCCGACCCGAATGGAGAGACAGACAGCGAGAAAATGAGAGAGAGATGGAGAGAGCGAGATCCAGATAACATAATATCCAGAGAGTTTCGAGCTTCGCATGTGCACTGCATCCTGCAAGATGGAGACACGGAGATGGCAGGGGACATGAGGACTGCTGTAGAAGGCACGGCGTCGATATCGAAGTGATGTCGACTAGGTCGCGACATCAGAACCCTACCCCCACCAATCATCGATTCTCATAAGGCCTCTCGGAGGGCGGGAGGGCTTCTGAAAAGCCCCCCCCCGCCTTCCTGAGAACGCCGCCACCTCTTCTTTTCCTCCTGGGCGCGCCGCTGAGTGGAGGCTGGGTTCCGCCAGGAGGGCAAGAGGGTACTTCTCACTGCGCAACTGATCACACACGACTTTCAATCTGCAGGCCTGTATGACCACATAGGCCCTTCTCAGAGGTGCAATATCAATGTACGGTGCGTATTGTGGCATCTGTGCATACATACGCAAACGCGAAGCAGCGCCCGTGGTACACTCCCAAAGGGGGGGCCCCTACCCCCCCGTGCGTATCCTGCTGAAGAGCTCCTTGGCGTCATCGTCGCTCATGCCGAGGTGTTCCTCGCGGCGGCGATGGGATCGGCCAGCCCCGCCCTGCCCCCTCTCGGAGTAGGCAAAAGATGATGACGACACAGCGGAAGGAGGGGAAGGATGATGGCGAATATGGCCTGAAAGGGGGGGGGTGCAGAAGGGGGGGGGGGCGGAGGGGAGGAAGGGCGTGGCTAGGGGGAGGAAGGGGCTGAAGAGGAGATTCAGGATTTCAGGATCCGCCTGGGTCCGAAAGTTCTGGGTCCAGAACAACGTGATAAGATTATTGCTAGAAGCAACAAGCAAATGAGTACCTGGCAACCAGATATTGAAGGCTTGGAGAGGACCTTTCAATTACGCTCGCACATCCCCGTGACCTGGGGGGGGGACTGAAGCATGCGCGGAATCACCGCACTCGTCCCGAACCCCCGACGCCACATCTGGGAGGAAGGCCCTTCCGGAGTCGGACTAGCTACGTACACGGAACTCTGCCCAGGTCGCGGCCTCAAACCGCTCAGCTTCATGCGGACTCAGAAGGAAGCCTGGATTCGCCAAGGACGAATATCCCCCGCGGGCAAATACAAAAACAGCAAGCACCCATAACCGACGCAACGTGGCGGCGCCCCAAGACCCCCAAATTTCAGCGTTCGCGCCGAAATTGGCGACTGCAAGCAAAAAAATCCGACCCCGCAGGCCGCGTTTCGCGCACCGATCAGCATCCAAACCTCGCGTTTGATTTCGAAGGGCGTTGTAGGCCAAGATCCTGTGGGAGGCACCGCCGTCCGCCTGGCAGCCCTGCGGACGGGGGGGCACGTTCGACCTACGCCTCCCTGCCGGGGCCTCTTGTGGCGGCGGCAGAGGAAATAGAGAGAGAGAGAGAGAGCACGGCGCTCCTCAAAATAACCAGCTCCGCTCGAGCAACAATGACGAGAGCGCTCCGACACGCGCCAGGCCGGATCTGGCAGACTTTAGCACGGCTCGGGGCGAGACCACCAGCCACAGCATTGATGAAAAAGGCCCCTGGGGCTTGGCCTCGTCGCCCGCTAGATGCGGCGACGTACGCAAGCTGGGGGCCCAAACTTCCCGTCCCATAATGGAAAAGAGAACAAAACGCGTGCCGCCGATCAGCATGCTCAAGCTTGAAGCAATGGAACTTCTCTATGTTCAGGGCCGTCACGCGATTGACCTGATCACGCCGAAAGAACAGTTCAGCCGACGGGCCGACAGCCCCAACGCACCAAGCAATGGCCAGAACTTCACCCGTCGGCGCCGTTTCCTCGGGGCTGCCAACCACGCCCTTGCAACGCAGCGGTCGTCGACCCCCACTTTCCCCTGTGGCCGTTTTCCTCACGATGATCGTCGAACCCCAGTTTCCCCCGTGGCCGTCCACTCCGAAGACGCGAGCCCCAGGGAACGCCCCTCCAGGGCGCCTCACCACAACAAGATCCCAAACGACAGGGGGGGAGGGAGGTCCAGCCGCGAGAGACGAACAAGGGAGCTCCAACCACGGGATGAGGGAGTTCCACCCACGAGCGACGAGACAGGAAATCGGAAACAGGTCGAACTCCTGCACCGCCTCTGGGGCCAAGTGGCTGGTGGCAACGACATCGTGGGGCGGGGCTCAACTCCAACCTGGCCGGTCAACAACTCATCGTGCATACAGGCAACTCGTATAGTATGGACTTAGTAAACTGCGCGGCAAGGATGCAAGCGCCGCGGAAGGCCACGTCGACACTTTTCGGGCGTGGCGCGGCCAGCGAAAAAGGCCAAGGCTGGGCCGAACGGGAAGGTTGCAAAGGTAATATTGGAAAGTCGCTAATCCTTGCTATGCGGGCTGATAGCATTCCATTGGCACATGCAGAAACGATGGCTGCTGGATTCGGCGGCTGCCTCGCATATCTGACACAGAGGCTTGGTGCGGAAGCTGGCTTTGAACCTTGCGCAGTCGGGTTGCCACCGCATGCAGTATGCGGGTGCCCGCTGGGACCCCTGAAGACGCCGTGACATCTTAGACTGCGCAATTCTGAGGTTAGAGACGGACCAAGAGCACCTTTTTCAGCACAACGTGCTGCACTCCAAGCCCCCTTCCCTGAAACAAGATGGCCTTGGAAGGGCGCTCAGTATCTAGCTAAGCTGGCCGCGGAGCTTTCATATTCGCACTGGTCGTAATCCACTGCTCAAAACACGTTGGGCTCCTCGAGTCCCTGCACTCGTGCGCCTTACTTTCTGCCGTCTGGTCAGCATAGGCCTCCTGAGCCTCGCGCAATCGACAGTGACCTGCAGCTCGCAGTTCTGGTCGTCGTCCTCGAAATCCTGTTGGCTTCCGCCTGAACAATTAATCTCGTAGAGGTTCAGGCCAGTGAAGCAACGCTCCGCTGTGCGGGCAAAGGAGACGGCCTCTTCTTGTTATTCTTCTTTTTGCGGTCCTGCTCGCGTCGATGTAGCACCGCGTTGCCGGTGATGCCGTACTCGCCGAAGTCCAGCGCGCATCGAAGTTGCGCGCTATCCCCCGCTTCGCTTCATCAGGGGGCCGGCGAGCTGACTCGCACCCTCCACCCATCGAAGATGGACCTGTGGGCGCTGCACAGCGGCGCGCGCGATGGCCGCGTCGATGGCCGCCCTCTCGTCGTCCGCGAAGCCTGCCGTGCGGCTGGCGACGTGGTGGTAGCCGCCTCTCGAGTAGGTGGCACTTCTAACTTGACAGCTGCCCGCTAGCTGATAGGGCCTCTGAGGTCGAACTCGGGACCCACGATCTCGAGCAGCGCGGTCCTGATAAACTCTGCCATCGCCGTGCCCTCCGACATGGCCAGCGTCTCTGCGCCGAACTGGTGAAAACGCATACTCTGCAACTTGTGGCTCTTCCAAGACTGGATGGAGAGAGTGGCCTTCTCGCCCCGCAGGATCTCCCGGCTCGTAGCGAATGCTACGCGGCCCGCCTACGAAGCCCCATCCCCGGCACAGGCCCAGACGGCGTCGTTGAAGGCAGCGAAGGCCAGCTCGTGAAAGGAGATGTGATCCACCATGAGCGTGGGGCCGCAGAACTCCTTGGTCGTGCGTCCAGTCCAGCTCGCCCCCGCAAGGTTGTCCAGGCCGTCCACAATCAGGTTTGGCATCTTGCCCTGGAATGGGAACACTGGGCGCGATAAGTCGGGTCGACTCCACTCTCTGACTAGAACAAGAATGCACCCACGCAAACTCCTTGCCCAATGTAGTTCAAAGGGTGCAACGTGAGCTTGAGTGTCCGTACGTCGCTCCGTCGCTATGCTGATCAGTTGGGTACCCGCCAAGCTCCAACTCTGATGGGCCTCAATATCCAGGTTATTCCCGTCCTGCACAAACTCCTTGCCAACGCATTTGGCCGTCTTGTGGCGCCTGGCCCTGGAAACCTCTCGCGCAGCTTCTCGCGCGCCTCCTCGAACTGCTTGTCGCATCCGCCCACGATGTCGCCCGCCGTGAGAACCGCGGCCCCGCGCGGGCCCTTGGTCTCTCAGGTGGAACACACAGCAATCGCAGATAGAGCACTGGAAGGTCATCTCTTTAGCGTAGCTCGCGAAAGAACGCAGCCGCTGGACTGGGGCAACACCCAGTCCGTAGACAGCCTCGAGCAACTCCGCAGCGACCCTGCCGACGTTGGGCATGCTCAGTCCGAGGGGCCCCACGTGCAGGCCGCCCTGCGCCCCATCGAGGGGGTCGCCTGCCATTGAAAGCGGAAGCGATGTCGGCCAGCTGGAGCGCCCACATGTTGGTGGCAGAGTCTGCAAGACGAGGAAAATCGCAATCGTTGCGGACCACATGACTGTAACTCTACCTCAATTAAATAAGTCGGGGTTGGTGTGGCCCTGAACTGCCCGGCGCGCCTCGGCCGCCCTCCAGGTGCCGTCGCCCTTGCAAATTAACGGATTCTGGCTTGCGTCGGCGTCCTAGGGGTCGCCGCCCGCGCCCGTCAATGCCCGCCTGTAACTCGCGATGCGACGGGCGAGCACAAGGCCCTGACGAACGGCATCCGCTTCCCCAGGAGGTCTGACCCTCGCGGCGCCGTCTCGCAATATGTTATTCCACTCGCGTCGCGTGGCAGAGATGTAGGACTGCCGCTTGCAGGTAATCACCGGGGTCATTCTCAGTGGTCTCCTTCCGACCACGTTGAGCTGCACACGTACTGAGGACGTCCACTGACGCTGAACCTGCGCCCTTGCCCTTGCGACTCTTCTTCTCGGGTTGTGCTGCGGTGTCCTTCTGGATCCTCCGCTCGATGTTGGCGGTCCTCTGCGCCACTGGTAGCGTGGCAGCTGGCTTGTCCATGTCCCGCTTGATAGCGATGGGGGCGTCGCCGAGGCGGTCGCAGATCTGCGCCTCCTTGGGCGCGGGCTCTGTCTCGAAGTCGGCGGAACGCTCGATCCCATAGTTGGCGGCTGCCAGACGGATGGGGGTTGATCATCCCCAGCAGGTTCGGGAGGGGCCGCAATTGGAACAATATCTGCCTGCCGCGGTTCTCGGTGCTCAGGTACTCCTGCATCGAGCTGTCGGTCTGCCCCCGAGCGATCGTCAATCTCTCGTTAACGTGCAGCTGCTCAGTGGGGGCACTTCAGTAGTTCTTCCTGGCCAAGGCGCCAGACCGTGCTCGGTTGCTCCGTCTGGACAACTCGAGCTGGGCCACGCCAGGATCTGGCCGGAAACTTGTCGGCACTGCTCCTCCAGAAATAACGCCGACCTCCTGCTTGAAAAGTGACCCTGCGAGGCGGTCGAGCCCTTCGATTGAATGCCCGGCGCCGCTTCTCCGAGCACTCTGCCTCGATGTAGGCCGCCATACATGCTTTGCGCATGTTAATGCTCCTGGCGAGCTCGGCGCCGCCGTTTGTGGCTCGCGATGCCGTCGCGAGGCTGGGTGGCCCATCCTCTAAGATCCTCTCAAGAAGCCTGTAGGGCATGCCGAGGACCCGCCGATAAGGAACGCGACCTCCCCCCGTGCACTCTCGCCAAGGGCGACGTTGACCGACTCCACGGGCTCGTAGAAGTCGCCCCAGTTACTGGCGTTG